GCATGCCATATTACCCGTGCCCGTGAGGATGACGGTGCAGGCTCAAACTTTGAGAGGCCCTAGTCATCTCTCACTCTAAATAAATTAATAATAATTGATGATTTCCACGCTAATATATTTTACTTTGTCGTTACTAGAAATTCGCCCGCCGCTTCACTCGCGTTCAAGCCCTTAAATAAATATCTTTCAATCCTTAACAACACTCTTTTCCCAATTAAAAAGTAGCCTATGTCATTTCTCAGGCTCTAGACTATCTGTGTACCAAATTTCATTTAAATCGGTTCAGTATAGTAGTTTTGGAATGATAGCGAGACAGACAGAGTTACTTTCGCATTTATAATATTAGTATGGATTATGAAAGGATGTGTATATACGTCACTAGTCGAGATTCGAGTGAATAAGAGTTTACGTGGAATTGAAAACATCATATCAGAATTACAATATTCGGTAATTAAAAATAACGGTCTATTCTAAGCAATCAGTAAAACCTAAATGTTCCAGTCATAAAAAAATTAACTTAAAAAATTATCAAGTTCGGCTTGATGTCAATAATGGCTTGATATCAAATTACGATCTAAATCAAGTAACAAAGTGACTTTAGTGCTTTATTAATTTAATATTACTCTGTTACAAGGAGATTGATATAATTTACTTGATTGTTTCATGTCCTTTGAGTAATCAAAAGCAATTTGTATATAGTAAGAGATCAAAGAAAATACAATAAAATTGAGAGCATCCTCCTTTTTTGATGTCGGTTGATAAATACGAAATATACGAGAATAAACATCGACTCATAAGACATACGACATTCAATTTTATTGAAATAAAATAATTAAAAAAGTTTTACTTACGTTTCTAGTTATCACACGTGGCTACGTCTATCTATAATGAAAAAAAAAACAAAAAAAAACTAGAAACACACAATTTTTTATTTATTTGTATAGATATATTTTTATGTGAAAAAAGTTCACGCGAGAAGGCGGTTGTTATGTTAAGTGTATACCGCCGCCCATGGACATCTTCAACACCTGAGGGCTTGCAGAGTGGATAAATTGCAGCATCAACTAATTCTAAACTATAACCAAAAATCATGTTTCAATTATTAAACTATCATTAACAGACATTTTTGGGTAGAAAAAATGGTCATCGTTGTTCAATAAGACCTGGCTTAGTTTATATAATTCATGTAAGAAGCATATTTGGGCTGTTTAACAGCGAAGTCATTGTGTATTTTGTTTATGTACTACACAGACGACGAAAATTAGCTTGGTAGCATTAAAAAATGTTTTGTGTGTCTTTCTGTCCCCCTGTCTGTCGCGAACAAGCGCAAAATCGCTCGTTTTTAATAACGTAATCTAACGAAATGGAATTCGCAGGGCATTAATGTTTGATTTCGGCTAGCGAAAGCTTACTAGATATGACAATTTTTTTATAATAATGTTTCAGGTTCACGTCATAACGACGCATTTCAAACTTTTTTAACTAGTAGATAGGTCATGAATCTAAGTAAGAATCATCTACGTAGAGGTGTATAATCTTCATTAATGAGGATGAATGAATATCCCTCCTAATATTGTAAATGTGAATGTAAGTTTGTAGCGAAGCCGCGGGCGAAAAGCTAGTATTAAATAAAATTGCATGATTTCATATTTCTTCACAACTGTCGATAGAGACTGGGTGAGACAGAAAATGATGTATTTTCAGTTTTTCCAGAGTACATTAAGTTCGATGCTTGTAATACAAAGAGGCACAAATAGTTAATTAGCTCTGTTGATTCTAAAATATTCAGGTTTCCACACGATGTTTGTATTTTAACTGTACAACTAATTTCTACGTGTCTGCGATATTTCTCTAATTCCGAATCTAACTTCTAGTTCGGAAGGAAACAAAACGTATGAAATTTTGCAATAAAAGTGAATTCAATAACAAAGAATAAATAAATGCCTTCACAAAGGAAATTACAGTCGACAGGTTAATAAGCTCTTCGTTTATATCAAACGGACATCATAAACAGTACAGTCTAATATTGTTCACTTTGTGAGCGTGAAATATTTAAAAAAAAAAGATAATTTATTCGATACAAAAGTAACTTTAAAATACGTGAAATATATTTCACACAATAATAATCACAATTACTGTGGTAAGGCCACGGAACAGTCTTCTCTGTTGCACGAATGGGCAGGTCCGTCCGGGTAAGTACCACGACCTCACAGAAGATCGGCGTGAAGTGGAAGTGTTTCATCTGGGCAGTGAGGTAGCCGGGGCCCACTTTATTAAAAGGTGGCAACGCATCTGTAACCCCACGGGTGTTGCAAATGTGAATGGGCGGCGCTTATCACTTAACATTAGGTTAACCGCCAGCTCGTTTGCCACCTTCTCACATAAAACACAATCGTTATTAAAACCCAGTAGTTGTGACTAGTACTCACTACCTCAATATTTTTCGTATTGCTTTTGGATGTTAATCCAATAACTCCATAAGTTGGTGTTTATTTTTTATTTTATATATTTATTAAAAAAGAGACAGTTGAATGTCTAGAATGATGAACATCGCTTAACATAACAGCTCGTTGTTGAGTCTACATTAAGTTTTTATACTCATCTTTACTTATATCTCCGTCCAGAAAATGTAATGGTTTGCTACACGCAATTAATAAGAAGCCTATTAAGAAGAGGTCGCTTGCATTTTTATGTTAGTTGTGCTTAAGGTATTATCTATATTTTTATCTATGTTAAAGGTATTATCGTATTTGTAAAAATTGTTTTTTATCCTTTACTTTACGATAACCTCATCCTTTATTGTAAGAACGTTTTACAAATATACATTTCACTTGGACTAACACTCAGATGCGAAACAACTGTCTTTGGGTCATACAAATTATTGTCCCGTGTGGGAATCGAAGCCACGACCCCCGACGCCAATACCTTAACTGCGCTACAGGGTCATCAATCAATCAAAAATAAAAGTTTGCTTTTTATTTTTTTTGAGGACCGTACTGACATAATGTCTTACCTTTATAAAGCCTGTGCTCAAAAAATATGTACGAGTTTATATTGTAATGTCTAAGGCTATAGAGTACAGACTCTATAGTCTTATGACAATGAAGTCGCAATATATTCTTTTAGCTCTTCATTTATTATCTACCTGCCATGGGATACGGAATTTCATAACCGAAATATCTATTAAATATTTTACAGAAAGAAACATTAAGGTATATATATATATATATATAATTATATATATATATATATATATATATATATATATATATATATGAGTGTCGTAGATACGTAATCAACCCTTAATGACAGTGGGCCCGGGTACCTAACATACCAGGTGAAATGCACAATTATGATACTTCTACTCCACGCTGGTCAAAGGCAGTGACAATTCGTGATACCGCGGCAGCGGTTGCTTGGCCCTGCGACAATATTTTACTATTTATTGTCAGTTCAACACATATTTGTTTATCGATTAACTTTAGTTACAAAGCTTATTAAAAAGTACACTAGAAGGAAGTAATAAAATCATTCAGAAAATTGTACCGTTGTTTAGTTGTTCAGGTTTGTCACCTTGGCTTATAAAGATTTGATGTTTTAGCTGATCAACAATTTGCGAAGGCGTTTAACATTAATTCAATTGCAATCGGAGAAGCAGACTTGGGCCATCAACCATTGAATTATGACCAAGTTACACGTTGTCTAAAACATGACCATTCTGCAATTGGAGTTCTTATGGCGAATACTTGTCACAATTCGAAGGAAATACTGATATATGTTAGTTATAATTCAATAGATAATATATAGTTATCTATTTTAAGTTTGTATTACTACATGGAATTTATTTCAGGCCTCTAAACAAATGTATTTTAGTTCGCAAAGGAAGTGGCTTATATTTGACCAAACAGATGCAGAAATTTACAACGATACGATAAACATATCAGAGCGATATACACCGTTTAATTATAAAACTCAATCTCAAATTTTATCGCTACTTGAAAATTTAAACGTTAGCATCGACGCTGATATAACAGTTGCCCTACAAAAAGGTATGTCTTATAATGACGTGTTTGTTAACTCCTAATATCAGTAGTATCATCGTTATTTCCCACTGCAAAAGTTTCAATTGTGCAAAATCATTTTCCGGTTCGAATTTTGATATATTTATTATATTTATTAATGTACGAGCGGCGCCCGATGTATAATCGTTATAGGAATGAAAAAATGGGCAGATAATTCTGAAAAAAAAAAAAAAAAACGTTTTTCAATGTTGTTCCTCTTCACCTTAGTACACTTATTTGATTGGGAAAGTAACTTTTCAAAACTCTCTAAAAATATTTTTCTTCCTTTTCTTAAAAATTTTCATAAATTTCCGCCTTCATCTCTTCATCGTTGTTCTTTTTTCAAAATCGTCGTATCTTATGATTTTGTATTTATATCCTAAAAGAGCGTCTTTCGACTGACGATATAATTTAATTACCCCCCATCAATATATTTGGCTACAATTGGCTAATATTAGTTGGATGGCTTTGATTTCTTTTATATTACGAACCATAAAATTTGCCGGGGCCCACTTTATTCCACGTGGCAATGCATTTGCAACCCTACAGGTATGGCAAATGTCCATGAGGAGGTTATCACTTAACATCGAGGTTATCACTTAACATCAGGTGAACCGCCAGGTCGTTTGCCACTTTCTCACATAAAAAAATGTAGTCTCGTAAAAAATTACGAAATTCTTTTTGTCAGAACCGAAAGAAATAATCCTGTTGGAGGTATTCAATTATGGGAAAATACAAGGAGCAAAATATATAATAAAGAACTTGGGACAATGGACTACAAAGAAAGGTATAATGAATATCCTTAGACGTCTTTGTTTTTATAATTAACTTGCAATGTCTGCTGATTGTGTAAAATATGTTTATTTTTGGACAGATTTCAATTTTCTAAACGATTACAAGTATTACAGAAGATGGAATTTTGAAAATTTAATATTACGAATGGTTATTGTCGTGAGTATTGTGGTTTCTTTTATGTTAAACTAAAATTTTCTGTTCCCTTTGCAATGTTTTCGCATATCATATATGACAAATTGTTCAGAAAAGAGCTAAGGGTCTGGTAACTCACCGGTCTCCGCCTTCCACTGCCTCACGCTGCTGGGGCTCGGCGAACTGGTTGGCTGATTCGGTTTCTCGAAAAGATATGACCCTGTCTCTCCGAATAGTATTTCCATAGGTCGCTGGCACAGTATTCTTCGGGAATTGTTCGTACTCGTAGTAATAGCGAGACACACGGTAATTTTCAAAGGCAAAGGTGTTAACGTTTCGGCGTACGGCGCGCAAGTATATTACGTCGCTCAGCCAATCAGAGGTGAGCGCTGTGTTCAGCGTTGAAAAGGATTGTTACCAGACCAAAAAATAGAAAATCCCTATCAACTTAATCATTGTTGTCACTCGCAATTGAAATGTAAATAACGATAACGAAAAAAAAAATAAAACAAATCATGAAAAATGGTTCCGGTACGGAACACAAATTTTGGAAAAATTATAAGTTATCACAAAAAAAATTTTTTTGACGAAAAGTTAGAGAACTCCGTAAGCAACTATGTTCGCAAAACGCACAAAACCGCTTCAAGAATGACCAAAGTATTCCCAAAGTTAAAAATAATGTTTCATATAGTAGATCTTAATATCCGAGACCATTGGGACCATACCGAGGAGATTTCCAGTGAAGGGTCGACAAAAAGCTCATTCACTTCAATTTTTCATTCGTCCGCGTTCCAGATGTCACCGCAACAAAAAGCCTTCAACCGCAACGTCACGATTGGCGAGGAAGCGGTGCCCGGAATTTCTGTGATCACTCAAACTGCTTCTATGATTCTGAATATTGTGTCCGAACTTCATAATTTCACGTAAATATTAAAGGATTGCATTTTTTTTTATTGATAAATGGCTACTTTGAAGATTAGATGTCTTTGCAGAATTGTCGCTTATAGACAATCTTCTAGTCAAACCGCGTTTTGTAGTCTGTGTCCAAATTATAATAAACTAAGTTATATTTATTTTAAAGTTTTTTTTTTTATAGTGCTAATCTCTGCACTTAAGATTGAACATTAAAACATGTAGAAAAAGTACGAAAAGATTGTCGCCGCTGTGGGAATCGAACCCACGTCTTCGGCATTCGCGGCCTGACGCTCTAGCCACTGAGCTATATAACAATGTAGAAAGAAGGCGTTAACATTTTCATCGCTGTGGCTATCAGCCGTTTAGCTCAGTGGCTAGAGCGTCAGGCCGCGAATGCCGAAGACGTGGGTTCGATTCCCACAGCGGCGACAATCTTTTCGTACTTTTTCTACATGTTTTAAGTTATATTTATTTGATTATTTAGTATTGTAAACTAGCTGAAGGTAAACTAATTCTGCTGTTAACGACACTTTACAATACAGATTGCGCTTGTATAATAAAATTCCACCCTTGATATTAAGTCTGCCACTTGATCAATTTAAACGCAAAATTAAAAGTAAACTAATGTCTAAAACACCATTACGGAATATCATGACGACGCCAATGTGTGGATTAAATACCGTTGCTACTCACGTAAGCTAAAATAAGACTATTAAAACCTTTTAATCTTGTAATCTAATGAGTTTCTTGCCGGTGTCTTCTCATAAGAAAATGCCTTTAGATTCGATGATAATAATTCGTTTTATGTTAAGATACTATTTTCACTTCCATTCCATTTTTATATATCCAATCAGTAGCCATTAAAACGTTGCTCATAAATTATGTTCTAGATGATATAAGTTGTTTTTTTTTTTATATAGATACAGATATTCTGTAGTGGACAGATGGGTTGGAAGTTATATCAGAAATAGAACAGCCGTAAGTACATACATAGCGTTAATCTGTGTTTACAAATAAAACATTAACGTCCGGTTTCTGAAACACTGATCATCGTAGATGTTAACTAATCAGCTGTCAAATGGCTTTTCAAATATCATTTGAGTTGCCAAAAGGATGGTTAAAGTCTTTGAATTAATCATTCGGATCATTAAGAAAATCATGCTGGGCATTTCAGAGACTTAACCATCCTTTTGTCAAATAAAATTAAATTTGAAAAGCCATTTGACAGCTGATTAGTTGCCCTCTACGATGATCAGCGTTTCAGAAACCGGGCGTAATTATAGCAATATTTCTTGGAATTAAACTATGTCCTAGAAAAAAGGCGTCACCCTCAGGAGTTGTTGATATTCATTCACTTAACATCAGGTGAACCTTCTACTCACTTGCCAACTTTTCACAGAAAAAAGTCATACGCATGGTCCATAATGATATTTATTTATTTATTTTAAGACTTCATGCACATAACTCTGTACCTAGGCGGACTTAATGCTGACAATTTACAGTTTTTAAAAGCAATAATTTTAACACCGAAAGTAAGTATTGAAGAAAAGATTCATCGAAAGTTTCTTTCATACATCTCAATCATGCATTACGCGAAATATGATTTAGTGTACTTAATACATTTACTTTTGTAATCGTTACAGACTGTTACGAATTCGTTGTACTTCCGAGAACAGGACATTTCTCCGGTTGTTCGTCCATTGGGGTCTATAATCGAACATGTGGATGTGATAAATCCACCGCTGACTTCGTTGGAGTAAGTTTAAATTTAATTGAATTGCACGAGGAGCTATAGGAAATTCAAATTTCGGAGTTTTGTAGCGTTTAGCGGCTCTCCTGATACTGCTGTAACAGTTATTAAGGACCCTTATCTAGTCGTGAACATTTACCACAGAACGGTTAACGTCACACGCCGTTGAAGTCGTTAGATACACTTAATCCAGTTATGATACATTAATATTGGATAATATATTACTATTATGCAGTGGAAGAGAACATCGTGTGGTCACGATCCTCGGCATTGAGGGACCGAGCATGCAGAAGATATTATCATTACCTCAGAAATCAGTACTCTGTCACCGATCGTTGTGTGCGCTGCATCCAATTTATGGCATTTAAGATCCTGCATAGTTCACAACCCTTTGTTAAATGCATAAATATGAGAAGAATGAATCGGAATTCGATCTATCTGTAGATTTGGTTACTGAGGATAGAATTTTGTCGTTAGTATTATTAAGCTAATGTCAAATAAATATCGCTAGTAACAAAATGTACAGATAGATTGAATATTGAAACCGGCTGTTAAATAATACTCCTGTTGTTTGGGCTTTAACTTTTCACATAAAAAAAGACATTCTATTCCGCCTTGGTCTTTCTGTGACATAGAAATGGTAGATTATGCGTTGCGATTAAAATTTTCATAAATGACAAAATTATAATATTTGGAGCGATAAAACTCCATTATAGATTAATCAAGTGCTTCTATACTTTGAAAAAAAAAAAAATATTTTTGATGTGGATTTGTTCCGGCGTTGTCATTGGCATCATATCTGAAGATTTTTTTTTAAATTTGAATATGACCGACGCTTGACTGAAATCCCACTAGGTGGTAAGATGATGGATCGCAGAAATATTTAGGACGTTGCCATATGCAGTTTTAAAAAATTTAAATTTAAAAAAAATTTAAAAATTAAAAAGGAAAAATTTAATTAATGGATTAGAATTTCGAGTTCTACGTCATTGTGGTGGCGACATTAATGGGCTATCGAGATCACGTACTTTAACGCCATTCGTCTACTTTGTGTCATGTAATCCTGATCTGGTAAAATATCTTGAACATAAAGTTTACGAATACGGTTTGCCTAAGTTTTGTGTGACGTATCTTTAATTCCAGGACCAGATACTACTACAAGATACCAACGCACGGTCCTGGAAAATTTGAGAACCAGTTTATGAGGCCGCTGTCGACGGGCACTTGGCTTTGCGTGTTATTTGTGTGTGTGCTGTGCGTAATAACACTGGTGCTCACATCGAAATTCGAACAGCGCCCGGCCCCTGCGCAATTTGCAGTTTTCTCCGTCGTCGCGTCCATCTGCCAGCAATGTAACGCATAGCTAAATTTTATTTATTAATATTATCTATCCCATTTGAAGTTAGTGGAGAACCGTATGAAGACGCTTATTAGCCACCAGGTAAACACTCTTTTGGTATTCTAATGGGTCCATTATGCAAACAGTGGTATACAGGTTGTTCCCTCCTCCCTTTTATATCATTGAAAGGCTACAGTGAGTGTTCATGCATTTCCGAAACTTTATGACACTTTGCGTCGCCAACATTTTTGCATGAATGTCTTAGGTTAAATAATACTACGTTTACCATCTATGGACTACTAGTGACTACTTTCCCTCTTTATGGTAACTTGGGTGGAAAAGTAGTAATTAATAGGACTATTCCAAAAAAAACTGATACAAAACACTTAGTGGCTGTTTTATTTCTTAATGATATCAAATTAAGTAGAAGAATTTTAAGCGATGTCAAGATCTAAATCTTTCTTAATTTGTATACATCTTTTCAGTTTTTGAAGACAGTGGTGAAATGGTTGTCAAAAGAACTACAACAGGTACACAAAGTGTTTTTGTTAGTAATTCCGCCATGAATTCTAAGTGCATTTGTGGTCTGTAAAATGCGTGAGAGCTTATGTACACAAGCAATGATAAATATTGCTTATGAATATATTACGATTTTTTTTTATTTATTATTAGCAGGTAAAATGACGATACTAGTGACGGGCGCATCGTGTGTTTTGATCTACAACTATTACACTAGCAGTGTTGTTAGCTGGCTGCTCAGTGGTCCGCCGCCGTCTATCAACTCCTTAAGGGAACTTCTCGAGAGTCCACTCGAACTGATTTTCGAAGATATTGGATATACGCGTTCTTGGTTGCAGGTGAAAACTTAAAGAATCTTCTTCTTTGTCCTGCCCTTATTCCACCCAGGTGGGATCAGCACAGCATATGAATTAATTTGTTAATGATATTGGTTACGGTTTTTACAAGCGGTCACGCGCCTTACGTTTACTGTTGTTGGAAATATACGACTGCTAAGCGATAGTGACTGCAGGTTGTAGTTTCGACCAGGACAATTGTTTGTTCGCTCAACATAGAATTGTTGTGGCTCTGGGAGTTTGTCTCTGTTTATTATGTGTTTGTAAAACCCTTTTGCGACGCAATATTATCCTGTCTGGAACGATCTAAGGATCCCAATGATTTGGAACATTCATTGATATGTTGCACAAATTTTGATACCACATAGATTTTATTGATTCCACAACATCATTGACGTTTGACGAGAATACTCCTTTAACCATTGCAAAATCAATAAAAGTATTATTATTCCACGGTGACTTATTCTATCCTTGAGATTTTTCATTTGGTTTCGAAATTACAGATGCCAGATTACTACTATAACAAGAGGAACGCGAAAGTAGAAAATGAATTGAGACAAAAGAAAGTTTTCAATAAAAAGAAAGGAGCGCCTTTGTTAGTGCCAATAGGCAGGGGGATCGAAATGGTTAAAGCAGGAGGTGAGCTTAGTCCTGAATTCTCGAAGTTTTTCTTCAATATTTGTTAAAGCAAACTTTATAAAGAATTGACGGCTTAATGGTAAGGGTCAATGATTAGCGATTAAATGTTTGTTTTTCGAATCCTCTTCGTGATATCAGTTGGTATGCAATGACAACGTGACATTAAAGTGTGTACAATTTTAAGCTTACCTTTACATTAGTTGTTAATTACGAGTAAACAGAACTTACTCTCAGTATCTACCAGTAAGAGTCTACTATTTTATTTGATATTTGATTAAACCAGCTAATTTACATCTCTGATAGATTACAGCCCATTGGCCATTGGTTTGATTTCACTGTTGTAATAAGTTTAAGGATTTATGCGGATGAAACTTATAAAGGCTTTAATCATTATTCATTTCTAAAACGCTCAGTTTAATTTTAGGGTATGCATATCATACAGAAGTTGACAGCGCCAATAATGTAATATCGCGTACATTCACCCAGAACGAGCTATGTGAACTGGGATCATTGCAGTCGATGGAAGAGACTCACTTGTACGCTTGTTTACAAAAGGACAGTCCGTACAAGGAGTTTTTCGCTTGGAGGTAACTTATTCATACCATTTTATAAAACAGTTGTACGAATACCCAAAATAATTAATGTGAAAGTGGACAAAATAATGATGATTAATTATTGAGCCAATTCATAATTTATGGGTTCAGTGAAGATATGTATATTTCTGTGGAAAGAAATGATGAATTAAAAGTTTTGTGAACGTTATTCAATTGTAACAATCGTAAGATATTTAATTTTTATGTTAAGTATATTTACGCTTTTACAGAGTGTTTTACAGTTTCATCCTAAAAATAATGTAATATTTTGATACAAATCACAACTTAAAAAAATGATGGGAAGCTAAAATAAAAACATAATTCATCCGTCAGCCTGCTTCGTCTCCTCGAACGCGGTATAATCTCGTGCATTCAAAAGCGCACGAAAGCAACAGATGTCTCTTGCGAAGGTAGCTCCCCAAGGCCCCTCGCGCTCGGTGGCGCTGCTCCCGCCTTCATTTTGTTGTTTGCTGGATTCGTTTTGAGTCTCGCCGTGATGGTAATAGAGCGGTGAGAGCATATAATATATATAGGATAAAACTTATTTGCGTACTTGCGAGCGTCTATTGTCATAATAAGGAATGTATAGATAATCTTCCTCAAATGTTGCTCCCATTTACGACGACTTTCTTTTTTATATGAGAACCTGATGTTAAGTGATATTCGCCGCCCACTGACATTTGTAACACCCGTAGGGTTGCAGATGCGTTGCCGCCTTTTCATAAATAAAAGTGGGCCCTAGTTACCTCACTCACTAGACGAAACGTAGAAGTATAACACTTTCACTTTTTGGTCTTCTGTGAGGTCGTGGTACACCCCCGGACGGACCTCCCCTCTATCACATGAATAACACAAAAATAAATATTTTTATCCGTTTTCAAATCGAGGTGTGAAAGGATCCCACACATTTTCAAACCAAACATCCATACATGTAAGAAATTATTGTATAATTGTAGTACCAAAAAAAACATTAAACAATTTTCTTAATTTTTTTTATTTGCTTACTACACCAGGCTGAATGGGCTAGGATTTACTCTTGATCACAGTACTTGAGAGGTTTACGAAAATACAACAATTGTCTTCTTACAGCATCCACATCAGCATCCAACGGCGCACGATGAGTACAAGTTAATTAATAATATTATAATGTTCTTTAATTTTCTATGTACTTTAAAAAATACATTACAATGATGTATTAACTTCGAAAATAAAATTACAAGCCCATACAGTTATCTAATTTCCGGCTACCTGAAAATTCTGAGTTTTAATGTTTGATTAGCGCTTGATTACCTTAAACTAGGCTAATCAAGCCTTTAAGCAAGTTGTTCAATTTTAAGAATAGGTATGTATATTAAAAAATAAACAGAAAAGCCAAAGCTTGGTAAAAACTAGTGTGGAATATAAATTAATTTCAACACAGTGAGGATATCAACCAAGTGCCGGCATCAGGCGCAGGTACGAATGCGAACGGCTATATGTATTGCGACAAATTTATCTAGTGTGGAATATATCTGTGCTCAAATAAAACAGAGTGTTTGAATTGTTGTGCATCTCCGGAACCTATTATATATAGTTCAAGTTCGACTATAAACAAGAATTAAAAAAAACGGTCAAGTGCGATTCGAACTCGTGCGCCGAGGTTTCCGTATCTACTCATTATACCATCCTAATAAAATTGGTAAAGAATCGCCACCGATTTTTTCATGAATGGTCCACCCTAGCAAGTTGAAATTTAAACCAGATACTGAGGTCTATAGTCCCTATTAGGTGTATAAAAACCCACTTTAGGCTATCCGTTCCTGAGAAAAACGGTGCTGAAACACGGACAGACGGCCAAGAGAATCTTGTAAGGGTTCCTATTTTTACCTTTTGAGGTACAGAACCCTAGAAAAATACATACAAATCACCTTTTCGAACTTACTGCCATACCATACCAATAATACAGTAAAGTAAAGTAAAGTAACAGCCTATACATGTCCCACTGCTGGGCAAAGGCCTCCTCTATACAGAGGGTATCAGGGCATAGTCCACCACGCGGCCCCACTGCGGATTGGCGGACTTCACATATCTTCGAAATTTTTTTTTTTTTGTTATTATTTCGAAAATATGCAGGTTTCCTCACGATGTTTTCCTTCACCGCGGAGCACGTGATAAGTCAGCACTTAAAGTTAAAAACTTCATTGGTGCCGGCACCGGGGATCGAACTCAGGTTGCTCGAGTATATTGAATTAAAGGCGAGCGCCCGGACACTGAGCTATCACGGCTCTATAATAATACAGTAAGTAGATTTTATTTGAAAGACATCTTTTGCCCCGTTTCAAAGTACGGCGAACACATTTCGTAATGAACTTCTCTGTTGAACCAAACTGAACGAAGTCGTCGCCGAGCTAAGAAAGTTCTGCAAAGAAGTTCGACCATAAAAGTGTACACCTGGTTTGACTCATAACTTATTCCTACATTCTCTTAAAAGTTGACGCTCTTAATGCCAATTAAGTTCCTGCTTTAAATTGATTCAATGTTGCGATTAGATTCCTAATTACATGTACATAATTTACACTTCGTTTTTGATGAATTTTTCCTTGTCAGTTTCTTAATCAGTACAGTGGTAGTTACTTTTAATGAGATATATGGATTAGGCTGATCAGTGGTGCAGATGCTAAGCTAATGGCTTGAGTGACGAGGGTCGTTGGTTCGATTCCCACGCGGGACGCGTATTTTGTGAACCACAGATATAGTTCCGAATCTGGGTGGTTATTCCCAAGGAGGGTCAGGCGATGGCTGGTCGTAAAAAGTCCTGGCTAATACCACTAAAAGCATGTGTTACATGTTGTATGGATACCACATGAGTGGAATAATGGCAGGAGAAACGAAATTATAATTTTTTCACTGCTAATCTCTAAAAATTTAAAATTTGTAAAATGGACGAAGAGGTATTCGCCACTGCGGGAATCAAACCCACGTCTTCCGGATCCACGCCCAGACGCTTTAACAACTAAGCTAACGTGTTATATCTTTCCTCCATTTAAGCAAAAACAATCAATGCCAATGGGGGATAGTGATTGAAGAAAGGGATAAGAAGTATTATAGTATTATGAGCTCGTTTATCGCCTCTATGAAAAGAACCGTCTTTTAATGACTTTTTTAAGACGTTTTTAAGACAATTTTAAGACGACCCGAATGGCGTAGTGGGTAGTGTACCTGCCTTCCGCGTCAGAGGGTTTGGGTTCGATCCCCACTACTGGAAAAATATTGTGTGATGAACATAGTGTTTTTCCAGTGTCTGGGTGTTTATATATCTATAATATGTATTTATTTACAAAAGAAAAGTATGTTTAAGTATGTTTATCAGTTACCTAGTACCCATAGTACAAGCTTTGCTTAGTTTGGGACTAGAGAACGTTGTGTAAAAATGTGTCCTAAATATTTATATTTAATTATAAAACAAAGGTGCTGTTAAAAATCTTTGTAGTAAAACAACAAACAACTTCTTTCTGTTATTTATTGGTTTGGTTCAGCTTAGTAAGTTTCAGAAAATTATCTCCAACTTAAAGCTTCGATATGAAAAGTACGGCCACAGCGATCATTATATTTATTATAAAAGGTGGTTGTTCAGACAACGGAATCGAGATGAAATTAAAATGTTTTTATAGAAGTTTTACACTTTCTTTATAATTTTTAATAACTTTAACGCAAACGTGAAATGTAATCTAATTCTTATCGAATTAGATTTTAGAATATTTTCGAGTCGAAATAATTGCATTTTAATACTACCTATATAGTTTTAAAATTGTATTAAAAAGTCTTAAGAATTATCTATTTCGTTACTCATCTCTATTGTTACAATAATTTTACGTCGATCTATCCATTATCTGAATAACTAAAAACTAAAACGAAATAAAGTGAATAAATGTTTATTTATTCGTATTTATTACTGAATGTATAAATGAATATAGTACATAAAACGCATTAGTATTCAAGCTTGAATAAGGTTGTACTCAATATTTCATTAAAATCCATTATTTTTGGAATTAAAAATCGTATAAAATTTTGGTTCATAGAATTGTATATCGTGTATGCGACAAGTGAGATCTCGTCTCTGCAGCGTCCGACCTGCATTGCCGTTCCTCCGCTCCAGAACAAATTAAGTTTTCCGGATGGCCTGCTTGATGCCAAGCTATTTGATTTACGAATTCACTCGATACAAATAGAATTATCTTAGTTTGTTCTTTTGAATAAAGAAAAGCTACGAGTGAAACTGTTATTAAACAAATCAGGCTCCAAGTTCTATATCATGAATGAATGACACGTTTGTTACGTGTTTACGGTGCTGCTAGTCGCGGATTCGATTCCTTTGCATCCGTGTTGCAGATGGCTAAACTAAAGACTAACTGATCATCTTAGAAATCAACTAATTAGCTGTCAAATGGCTTTTAAAACGTGATTTGAGTTGCTAGAAGAATGGCTAAACTCTCTGAATTTATCAGAATGATCCTCTTTATAATCAGAATGATCAATTCAAACTTTAACGTCTACGATGAACAGTGTTTCAGAAACCGGGCGTAAGATAGTCAAACGCGAAACATACGTACTTAAGCATTTAGTATTGACATCGAAATAGTAATTATAATAATAAATTAAAAAAAAAAAATAAAACAATTCTAACACGTTTGTTTCGTTATTTTTAGCACACTTTGTTTTTTTATTTATGTGAAAAGTTGCCAAACGAGCAGACGGTTTACCTGATGGTAAGTGAATACCGCCGCCCATGGACATCTGCTACACCCGAGGGTTACAGATGCGTTGACAACCTTTTGAAAATTGGGCTCCGGCCACCTCACTCACCAGACGAAACGCGAAAGTATTTGTCATACTTCCAACATTACTTTGTTTTAATATTATTGAATAAAATAAATTTAGAAACTTTTTCCCCTTCATTAATATCGTCAATGGAAAGGCAAAATTACTTAACCAGCGAATAAATGTTTAGTGTTTAAGTAATTTTGCATTGACCGTAGAACACCAAGTTTCGAAGAAACTAATATTAACCATTCGCGTTCACTGGCTTCCGAATTCGGAGTTTGTTCCCAATAGATCCCCTTTCATCTTTGCATATAAGATTAATATTAGAGAGCATTGTTCTACGAAACTAGCTAAATTTGGTATTGCATTTAAATTTGAAATCTCAATTCGAGTGCCACAGTGACCAAGTGAAGTCGATAAATAATTGAATGCAGGCTTTACAACACAGTTCTCCATATTGTTTTGTTATGTTGAACGATGGTAAATATAATATCAACTGTCTATGGTTACAGTTCTAGCAGATTTTAAACGGTTTGTTATTTCACAGGCATCGCATAGTTTTGGGTGCAGAAACAAATTAAATTGAATGATGGTAGGGCCAGCCTCAGCTCTTGAACGAATGGGCAGGCTCGTCCGGGCAAGTACAACGACCTCACAGAAGACCGGCGTAAAGTGGAAGTATGACTAATACTTTCGCGTTTCGTCTGGTGA